GTGAAAGCTGAAAGATCAGAGAAGCAGAGAAAGCCACAGCCAATCTCACCTCACCAACTCCTCGACTGAAAGCCTCTGAGTCTGAGAAAGGTATTTAAGGCATGAGGAAACAGAAACTAAAGCAGTTCAACTGAGACCCTTTCGGGGGAGGACTCAGAGGCTTTCAGTCAAGGAGTTGGCGAGGTAAGGTTGGCTGTGGCTTGCTCTGCTTCTCTGATCTTTCACCCCCATATCTGGCTCTGTGTTTTTTATTATAAGACCATTTGAGATTTGAACAGCATCCAGCTAGAACCAGTACAGGGCTCTAAGATCTTCTCTGTGGGTGTCTCTACCCCCAGAGGCGAGGAAAAGGATGGTGCAATAGTTTCAGTTTGCTTTAGTTGTGTTTGGCAAAATGGGTAAATGTATCCTTTAAAGATTTTTTGGCTTGGCATGGTTTGGTTTTTGGTTTCTGAAACAGGCTCTCTCTATTATGTACGTAGCTCTGGCTGTCCTGGAGCTTGCTATATTGATCTGGTTGACTCTGAACGTATAGAGATCCTCCTGCCTCTGCCTCTTGAGTGCCAGGATTAAAGGGGTGCACCCCCATGCCCTGCTATAGAAGACTTCTTTTATATGATTACATTTTGAAATACTTTTATGTTTGACAGACAAAATCAGCCCCTTTGTTAGCAACACAGGAAATAGTCAGGCTCCTTCTTCTACAGTTATTCTGGGGGAAATGGAAATGCTGAGAGGTGGTGAGAAGGTGAATAGAGGAAAACCCTGGCAGGTTTGGAAGAGAAAGGAAATAACCAATTGGATGTCCTAAAGAAACTTAGTAGTTTGTGAGCTAGTCACCTTCCTTCCTAAAAGCCAGAAATAAAATGGAGAAAAGGAAAATCAAAGCAGTAATGAAATAAAACAAACCCGTTGACCAGAGACGGTAGTTTTCTAAGGGTGCAGTTTTCTTTCACCTGCTCTCCCATACTGCTTTCTAGGCTCCCTTAGATGCTTTGTTATTGGCCAGACTCTGTCTCTGGGAGATGGATGATTGAGTCTTCCTTCTAGAAGAGCTGGCCTGAGCCAGGAGCTGGAGTGGACACTAGCAGGTGTTGGCTGTGAGCAACACATCAGGCAGATAGGTGAGGGCCCAGGCTTCACAGGGACTCTCTGGGGTGGGCAAGAGCTTGGCAGCACTGAGCCCCTGAGGCTGCAAAGGCTGGGATTGTCTGCTCTGAAGCACTGAGCCAGAAGTGTAATTCATTTGGAGGACCAGGAAAGCACAAGTTTTTTGGTGACTGCTTCTTGACCCACTGTGTCCTGGAGGGAACAATGTGGTGGGTTAGGAGAAGGCGTCGATTAACTGTCCATCTTGCTTCTGGAAAGTCTAGCCTGGGAAATCGAAACTGAGAGAGAGAAAAAAAAAATCAGCTGCTAGGAAGCTTTAAAGATCTTTAAGGGTCAGGAAATGGTGGGGGAGAGGAGGGGGAGGGAGAATGAACTAGAAGTAAGAAGTAAGCAGAGAAAGAAAAGGACAGAAGTGCAACAAAGAGAAATTGCAGGGGAAGTGACTGGGGATCTGTGGGGGGGCCTGAGGGGGTTGGGGTGGGGCTGGAGAGGGGAGAGTTGGAGGGGGAGCTGGAGCAGGGACTCTTAAAAGGCTCTGTTACTTGGTTACTTTAATAAAGAAGAGACAGCAAGTCCTTTATCAAGGTGAGTGTGGAATCTTAGCTTCTCCCATCACAACACAGGATACCTGTAAGCATTGAATAATCTGCTATAACATGGTTCTGTCTGAATTCTGGAAAAGACAGAGGTGGGGAAATGGATATGGAGTATTTTCTTAACTTCTTAACTCTTGCTCAAAAACTTGCAAGGTAACTGCAAACTTCAGGTTACTCTCTGTGTTAAGGGGAGCCCACCAGAGAGGACCACTCAGACATAGTGTGTAGCCAATTGAAAGTCTTTATTACAGCTGGCTAAGACTACATTCAACTATTTGGGACCCAAGTATAGTAGCCTGGAGTATTTAAACTAAGGGACTTTTATTTTTGTTTGTGTGTTTGTTTTGTTTTGTTTTTTTGAGACAGGGTCTCTCTGTGTAGCTTTGAGCCTTTCCTGTAACTCACTCTGTAGACCACGCTGGCCTTGAACTCACAAAGATCCGCCTCCCAAGTGCTGGGATTAAAGGCGTGTGCCACCACTGCCTGGCTGACTAAGGGGCATTTAAAGAGGAGAACCATAACCTGCTATCTTGTTCGGCAGCTGAAAGAGGAAATTTGTACAAGCAGGCAGTTCAACACAAGTTATGTTAGCTGGGGCATCTTGGCCTTGGATCCTAGAATAGTTGCATAATTTTCCATGGGATTCTCCAGCTAAGAGATCAAATTGAGTTAAACCTAAAATGGCCTCAGCAAGACTACAAGATGGAGGAACATCTGCACTGTGTTGTCCTGTCATATCTGTTCACTTTCTTTTTCTGAGTAAGTCCATCAAATGAGTCTTCAGGAGATAACGGTAATTCCCAAGTTGTCTGACTGATTGAGGAATACATTTGTGCCCTCAGAAATCTTATAGCATAGTCCAGTTTCCCACTTACTTTCCAACTTTTATTTCCTGAGAGTCTCCACTGTTCTAAGAATGTCCTTGGTTAAGGGTGTTGATTACAGCACTGGCAGTAGTGTTCCCTGAGCAATCTGTGACACATGGCCATTGTCTGAAGCCTTCATCCACATTTTATTTATTTTTATTTATTTTGTTTTGTTTTGCTTTGCTGTGCTTTGAGGAGAGGGTTTGTCTGTGTAACAGCTTTGGCGGTCGCGGAATTTGGTTTGCAAACCAAACTGACCTCGAACTCACTGAGACCCTCCTGTCTCTGCCTCCTGAGTGCTAGGATTAAAGGTGTGTGCCACCATGCCCAGCTACATGACATATTTTTAGCCTTCACAATAGTCGATGTTGATTCTATACCACTCATCTTAGGGTAAGGAAGACACAGAAGATAGCCATTGTGTTCATGGTCAGGAAACCGGCGAGTGCAGTCTGAGCTGAGCCCAGACTTGTTGGCACTGACATTGCTGTGCATGTTTTCATAAGATGTCCTTGTCTCATTTACAGTTACTGCTGCTTCTTACCAATGAGAAACTAGGTCCAGATGGGGTACATAGATTTCTATCATCATCGTTCATCAGTATTAGTTATTGACAGAACTCTAGGGCTCAGGTTCCATAATGGAGGGGTTAAGATAGTTGGTTACAGTCTCTGGATGGCTCCCACTTGACTTAGTGCATCAGTTACACAACAGTGTGAAGAAACAACCTAGAGGTGACAATTCTTGAGTCAATCACGCTGTTCTTTTCAATAGACTAATAACTTTATGATAAACTGTTAAAGTGCACAGTCATGTCTTGTTGGTGGTATGCACTTATAGTCCCACCACTGAAGATGAGAAAAGGTGATCACAAGTTTGAAGTCAGATGGGGCTACTTGGCAAGATCCTGGGTTTTTTTTTGTTGTTGTTTTGTTTTGTTTTTTTGTTCTTTTTTTTGGTTTGTTTGTTTTTTTTGTGTGTTTTTTTTAAAAAAGGTTTACTCTGTAGTTAAGAGTACTCACTGTTCTTCCCCAGGGGACAGATTCATTCCTAGCACCTACATATTGGCTCACAACCACCTGTATCTTGAGTTCCAGGAAATTGTACACCCTTTTCTGGTTTCCATGGGCCTTTCATTTACATGGTGAAATACGTACCCAGGCACACACATGCACATAAAATAAATAAACAATTCCTTAAAATGGTTAACTAAAGATGATTTCTATGTCTCTGTTTATTTTTATTGGCATAGATAAATTGGCATTGTGACTGTAGAAGATAAAGTCCTTCATTTCTAGAGATGGAAAGTGACGGGTTTTAAATGTCATGATGATTCTGTCACCTATTAAATGAAAGACAAAATAGATGTTCAAAAAGAGAGAACACTACTTACTAGCCATGTGATACATATTTGGAAATTCATGATACCTTCTTCGGTCTTTTCTATCAAAAAATGTTCTGTTTTATGGCTAATATGGGGCTATTATTACCCATCTCAGATTGCAAGAGCTGTGTGACCTATTTGGGGAAAAGCTTTTGGAATATGGCCCAGCACATCACAGGTCTCCTCCTCCCATTCCATGAATGTATCTTTCTTTATGAATGTACCAGAAGGGTCTGCCCTATGATGGGTATTGTCTAGATGGTGAGATAATAAAGAAACATAGATCTTTCTGGTGGTATTTAGCTCTAATAAAGATTTTAATGTTTAATTCAAAATGTTCTCTTTTGGAGAGAGAATAAAAGAAAAAAAAGGGAAGAACACCTCTTTGAACAGAAAAAAAAAAACTGAAGCAGTCATTTAAGCTATCATTTTGGATATTTTTTCCAGATCTTATTTTGATATTTTTCCTTCTTTCTTTTGTCTTCAGGATACTACCAAGTTCTCTGCCTACTTATTTATTGCTCTGCAAATTTACCATAGCTTTACTACCTTCATCTTAAAGGAAAACCAGGGTTTGACATCAAGGTAGGTAGAAAAACCTTTGAATTCCCTGACTGCAAACTGCTATGCGGGGTTTTTCTGTTTGTGTTTGAATTTGGTTTTTACTTCAGTTTCTAGGCTTGGCATGTCATGTCTCTTGTCGATGGTATTCTTTCCCCCAAACAAAATCTAAGGAAAGCCTGCTTTCATGATCATTGTGGGCCTAACAATTAGAGGTAATTTCTGTTAAAAAATTTTAGGGTAGTGCTTGACACAGAATACTCTCTTTTTGGTTATGCTTGGTCAGTTAGCTAGCTGCTTCCTAATTTAGCATACTGGAGCAAACAAGGCCAGAGCTAACGTGTGATACGGGACGGACCCTAATTAATCATTTCCTCTCTATAGATTCTGCCACACATTGAATCATTTTGAAATTAGTGTTTCAGGTGGACCATCTGCAGGTCACAGAGCAACCTTTGTAATATAAGGAGAACCGTGAAAACCATGTACCATTCTTCTCAGGTATGTCTGTATATCTTGCTACAAAATATACACATAATAGACTTGGCCATACTTGGTCCTAAATTGCATAGTTCTTCCTGCCAGGAATCTGCTTCCTTGTGTATTGTGAAATCATCCCCATTTACCTGATTCTTTCTATTTTAGTGCACGGAATTGGGGAAGGGATTTGTAATTCAAGTTTAAATCACATTAAAGTAGTCTTTTACTTAAGGGAAACTACTGTAATTTTGCCTAAAACAACAGCAATAATAATCATAACAAAAATATCAAATGCAAGGTAAACTTTGGGAAAATGAAAACAGCACTAATTCACAGCATGGAAATGTTCTGAGTACAGATGATTTATTGAATCAGAACAACCTATAGTCTTATACTACTTGAGTTATAAAATGATTTCTTTTTTGTATATTGATTCTTACTGTGATCTTGTTAGGCAAATGAGGAAGACTGTGTTTGCTGTTCTTTTACGGAGAGGAAGAAACGGGAGTTGCTGGAAGGAAAACTGAAGACTTGGGTAAATTTTCTGATGTGAAATCAGAACTCCTACTACTCTCCAGGCTTGGCTATAAAAATGACCCTTTTCTGTATTTATAAAGCTCACTTGAACATACCAAAAAGGTTGAGTATTGACAGGCATTTGAGGATGCTGCTTCAAAGCCTCTGCCATATTTCTTCTTATCCAGGTTCCAGAAAGCCAGAAGACCCAAATAGCTAGAAAATCCATGTCAAGCCTGGATATGTCTCTGTCTTGCTCTATTTTAGAGCAGTAATCTGATAACCACACACACTACTTCCCTTTCTCTTAAAAGTTTCAGGCTAAGCAAGACCTGTAACCCCAGCACTCTGTAAGCAGGAAGGGAATTTTCACATTCCTGCTGAATCAGGGCTGTATAATGTTCCAAAAAACAATAGCAATAACCACAACACCACACACTCACAGGGTAAAGTATCTAAATTGACCCAAATGTCTTTGGAAAGTTGAAAATCCTTTACAGCACTCTACACAGCATGACAACAATATTGCTGGTGACAGCACTTAGACTGCAGGCATGCTTTAGGGGAATTTCTAGGAATGGCCAGAGTAAATTTATGTTATCTTACATTCTTCTTAATCTCTAAATCTGGGAATATTAGTGTTATTTCAAATGACAACAGGTTTAATCTTTACCATGCTTTGTCACTGCTATCCTTACTACCAGTGTGTATCATTGCTGGAATATGAACGGTGACTGTTGGCATCATTTTCATGATAACAAGACTTAGGGAAAATGAACCTTCCAAACACAGGAGGCAGATGCTTTCGCTTTACATTGTTTGAATCAGTCCTCCTTAATCCAACCACCACACTTCCCCAGTCCTTCAGATAACATCTTATAAAAATAGAAATTGTGGGCACAAAGTTTACAAAAAAGAATGCATAGGCCAGTGGGAGATGGTTGGAAACAGTATTAACATTCACATGATCAGCTCCTTTGCTAGTTATTATGTGATAATAGGAAAGGAACTCAAAAAGAAAATGTTCAGTATGTCAATATGTTTATCAAAAGTTCAGGGATGTCTTTTTCTTCCCCATTTATTGTAGGTATTTCCCATCTAGACAGCTGATCACCTCTGTCCTACCAACTGCTCCCTAAATAACCATACAGAGACTTATTATTAATTATAAATGCTCAGCAGATTGCTCAGTTTGTCACTAACTCTTATAACCTAAATTAACCCGTTTCTTATCTAAGCTCTACCACATGGTGATACCTTTTATTTTTTAACTTGGCAAGTTCATCTTGCTTCTCTCCATGTCTCCTCAAGACTCCTAGACTCCTTCTCATCTTCTTCAAGCTCTGTTTTTGTCTGCAAGTCCCACCTAACCTCTACCTGTCCAGCTATTGGCCAGTCAACTTCTTTATAAAACCAATCACAGCAACACAGATTCAGATAGTGGAAAGGAATATTCCACATTTGCCCCTTTTTGTCCAATTAAAAAGGAAAGTTTTAACCTTAACAAAGTACAATCATGTACAACAAAACAGTTATCGAGTAAGAATTACAGTTACAATATCCAGTCCATTTGTATTTGGCAAAATAGAGAAAATACTTCATCAGCTCTCCTCTCCTCAAGAGTGGAGAGTTTTGCACCTAATTTTCTTTCTGCCATGATTAGGGAGAACTGTTACTGTAACTATCTAGTCTTCAATCCCATCAAAAACCTGAGAAGGATATAATTATATCCAAGTAAACAGGAAGTGTAGAGCAAATGACTTCCAAAACTAAGAGTTGACAGAAACAGCTGGCTGTCTGGACAGTCATCCAAAGTTCTTCTGTAAAATATATATTACATGTTTTGTAGTTTTCCTAGGTTTATTTCTTTATGGCTGTAGCCAGGATTTTGGGGGGGTCTTCCCCAATCAAACATGATCCATATCAACATGAAATGAATTCATAGCCTCTCATTTCCTATGGAAATAAAAGCATAACCTCTCCCCGCAAAACAACATACCTTTTGATTTCCACTTTGAAGTCAAGATATTTTTAGAATATATAGGTTGGTTTAATCCAGCAGTTTTCATAATCCAATGTGTCTTAGCTGTTGTTCCATCATTAGCAATCAGGAAATCTAAAGACAACACAATAATATATAGAATACAGACTCTCTGTGTATTTCCTATCTTTACATGGCATATATACACATATACATACATACATACATACATACATACATATAAAATTTTCCTTCACTCCTTTTTTAAGGACTTCATTAATTTTACACTATTTTTTATTCTATGACTGTATATATCATCTTTTCTCTCCCAAGCCTATGTATATTTTAAACACACTGTAGCCGGTTTAGAGTTTTTTCCATCTGGATCTGTCTTTATCTGTATTGTTTTTTGCTCACATGAGACAAATCTTAAACTGCTATGTTAGTTGCCATCATGGCTCAGCTTAGCTCATGTGTTGACACGAGGCATTGGCTGCTGACTCCTCCCCTGTTGGTTCCATGGGAGCTTAGCCTCGTGGCAGTGGTATTGGTGGCAGCCACATTTACCACCCCAGCTCTGGGAAGTTGATGAGTCCACACTGCCACCCACTACTCATAAATCCCATTTAAGTGTTTGGTAGCAGGGCCTCTTAAAAGAGCTGTACCCATGTTTGCTGATAGCAATGATCCAGGAAGCTGCCTCTTTAAGGAGCTGAGCAGCTCTTTGCCACTAGCACCAAGTCTACCTGAGAAAATGTGGTTATCAGGAGGAGGCATTTGGCTCTGTTTTTGTGTGCTTAGGATCTTTTTTAAGCTTTTATAGGTCTTATGAGGAAATTCCAGCCCTACACTGGATCACCATTGGTAGACTGACTTTTCTTTCCCACCAGCCAGTTCCCAAATAACCACACAGAGACTTCTTATTAATTATAAATGCTTAGTTGATAGCTCAGGTTGTCACTCACTCTTACAATTTAAATTAACCCATATTTCTTATCTACAGTCTGACACATGGCAGTACCTTTTTTTTAAACATGGCAAGTTTCATTTTACTTCTTTCTGTGTCTCCTCAAGACCTCTAGACTCCTCCTCTTCTTCATGTTCTCTTTGTCTGAAAGTCCTGCCAGAACTGCACCTATCCAGCTATTGGCCATTCAGCTTCTTTATAAAACCAGTCACAGCATCATCTATTCAGATAATGTGAAAGAATATTCCACATAGGATTTGGATATTGATGTAATGATGGATTGTGGTGGGTTCTTGCATGTTAGATGCTGGGTGAGTCAAGGTATCAATTACCAAAAATAACTATTTTTATGAGCAAATAATTAATTAATGATCTTTTTAGTATTAGTGCTGAATACCTGATACTAAATCATTGCACTGAACTCTTTCTGATTTTGAGGTTTTTAAACTAAAAATTATAAAGCCTGGCACGGTGAGGTATCTCTAAAATCCCAGCACTGGAAGACATAAGCAAGGCAATCACATGTTTGAGGCCAACAGGGACTAACTGAAGAGTTCCAGGGAGGCCTTGCATACACAATGAAGCTGTATAACAGAAAAACATTAACAAACAAATGAATACAATTGCCAGTGCAATATACCACTGTGCTTGGCAAAGATGAAAATTCTATTGTTTAAATAATAAGCAAGACCTAAAATGCTCCATCAGGAAGTTAGCATATTTAAAATATCTGGATAACTTTTCTCTTATTGGTTGGGAAATGTACCATACACAATGTGAGGAGATTATCTGACTGATTTGATAGGAAGTTGAGCTTGTATTTTGGATTCCAAGTTAAACTCTGAGTATTTCTACTCATTGGTCTTTTGAGGTTGGTACTGAGTTTCCCACAGGAATTCTGTGAATTTGCATACACACAAAAATGGAAACATTAGATTATCTAACATTTATTTTTAGGTCCCCAAAGGAGAACAGAGTGGTTGCAATATTGATCAAAGTAAAGTGGAATCTAGAAAAAGAGCAAATGAGCAAACCAACACACAGGAACAATGGGCATATTCAACTAAGAAATGTCGGCAAGATCAGATCACTTCCCCATATAAGACAGTTAGCATCACCTTAGATGGAAATCACAAGAAAAATGAAAAAATGAAATACTTGCTCACACATAGGAAGACAGATAGCTTATACACAGCACTCAACACTCTCGATGCTGTCAAAGAAGAGATAAAAAATCAACAAGGCAAAGAAATGCTGGTGTATGGGAAAGAAGGAATCAAAGGGTATATAAATCTTGGCATGCCTCTCTGCTGTTTTCCAGAAGGCAGCCACGTGATCATTACATTCTCTAAAACCGAAAGTGAGCAGGGAGAAAGTAAGCAAGTGTTTGGTTCACAGGACCAGGTGTATGCAGACTGCGTCAAATTTTACATTCACGCAGTTGGGAAGAGGAACGAAAGGATTCTCAAGTGCAGAGATCTTCACCAAGAGGGGAACAAACTCTGTATCTATGGCTTCAAGGGAGAGAGCATTAAGGATACTCTGAGGAAGGATGGCAGGTTTCACTCCTTTGTGGAGAGTGACCATTGGAAGCTCATTAATGACCTGGACACCATCATAGAAAACACCCAGCCAGTTGATGAGTTAGAGGACAAGCTCTTTCAGGTCGAGTTTGAGAGAAAAAGTTGTTCTCAGGCAGCAGACTTCACTGACTTAGAGAAGCCATCTTACTATGAGTTAAAAGAATACATTGTGAACGAGTATCCCACCTTGAAGAGAGAGTGTAAAAAACTCAGAGCATACATCAAGGAAGAAAGTGTAAAACAAAGTAAGAAAACTTCCTCATTTGAAATGCACAGAGCAAACTTCAGGAAACTGACAAAAAACTCCACCCCAACTAGAGTGCTCAAACTTCTTTCACAGTTCAGTGACTCAGTTGGGCTCATAGTTTGGAACAACAACGGAAATGAGGGCTATGCCACCTGCTTCGTCTTTACAGGATTGTATGTTTTCACTTGTATGCATATGATAAATGACATTGTGGGTAAAGGCACAGAGCTAAGTAAGTGGGCAGAAAAAATTAGTCAATGTGCAAAAGTCACATTTGATGCAAATGAAGACAACTGCTTTTCCATTGAATCTTGGTTTGAGATATATGATGAAACCCTTGACTTCGCTGTCCTGAAACTGGAAGAAAATGAACAACAAGTCCCTGCAGGGCTATTTAATGGAATAGCTCCTGTACCATCCAGTGGATTGATTTATATGATTGGTCATCCTGATACAAAAGAGAAGCTTAGTGATGGCTGTGTTCTGGTTTCTCAAGATGAGCACATTCAGGAAAGAGAAGCAGTGGGTGGCAGTAACCCTCCACAGTATGTCTATATGTACACCCAGAGAAGTTTCCAAGAAACAGTCCATGAACCTGGTGTGCTTACCTGGGACAACATTTTTTATTGTGGGTCTTCGGGATCTCCTGTATTCGATTCTAAAGGATCACTCATAGCCATGCACACTGCTGGCTTCATTTGTGAGTATGAAAGTGGTGTTTCCAGTATTATAGAGTTTGGCTGTGCTATGGAACCTATCTTCACTTATATTAAGACAAACCATAGAACATGGTATGATATGGAATGTGTAAATCAGCAGGATGTAGAAATGCCTAGTCAAGATCCTTAGGACTGGAGAGCATTTACTCTCTTTTTCCTTTTTAAAGAATAACATTTTTAGCCAGGTGGTGATGGTGCACTCCTTTAATCCCAGCAGAGCCAGGCAGATCTCTGTGAGTTCAAGGCCAGCCTGGTCTACAGAGCGAGATCCAGGACAGGCTCCAAAGCTACACAGAGAAACCTTGTCTTGAAACCCCCCCCCAAAAAAGAATAACATTTTTATTCTTTGAAAGTCTCACACATTTATACATATTGATCATATCCATCTACTGCCACCTTCGTTCAACTTTTCTAGGACCCTTATCTCTATCTCACTTTCATGTCTTCTTTTTATTTTTTGTTATTAATAACAATATCTACAATAAATTACAGAATTATCATGGATGTTACCAAATCTGATTCATAACTACACAGACCATTTCTGCCTCTTCTCAGTGCATCTCTATAAATCCCCATTCCAACTGTGGGAAATATGGAGCTTACCATATCTCAGTCATTTAGTTAATTGATTAATCAGAGTATAGATAGATAAATACAGAGATTATATAGACATGCAGATGGATGATAGATAGATACATACATACATATATACATGCGTATATACATACATACATATATAAAGTATAGATTCATAGATAGTAGCTACATAGATAATCACATAGATACATAGGTGATAGATACATATATAGGTAGATATATACATAATGCATATATACATGATGATATATACATAGGTATAATATGTGAATAGATAAATACATAGATAGAGATCCATAGATAATTAGCTGATATAGATAAACAAATGCATAGTTATAAATCCAGAGCCGTAAATTCATATATATATACATATAAATGTGTATATATATTATAAAGACATATAATAGATAGATATTTGTAGCTACATGGATATATGCCTAAATACATAGATGATAGATACAGAGCAATAGCATATATAGCAAAATTGTTCATCTGTACTTGGATGAGAAATAACATTTTATCAACTAAATAATATGCACCTGTGCAATTCCTTTTGCTTTAATCTGACATATGCCTTTCTTTTCCAAAGTTGAGACAGGTCTTCCACCCACCCTACACATACCCTACACACATTGGGTGAGATTCCTTAAACATCTGGAGTAGTTACACAAAAAATAAATTCTCCTGGGATATCCCATATTCATGCTGTCTTTTGAGCCTTTGAGTTCCTGGATTATTTCGTAAAATTGGGTAACTTAAACTTCACAGTGTGCCACTTACTGGATTCAGCACATGTGTAATGTCCCACATCTACTAAAGTATCTACAGAGTCCTTTGGCTGTCCTTCCAAGTCCCTGCTCTGTCCTTTCCTCTTCCCGAATGCTGGTAATCATCTAGCTCATCATAGTCCTTGTAGTTCTACCTTCCCCAGAGTGTCACATAAGTGGAGTAGTGTGATTTTTACCTCTCAAGACTATCAATGACCCGTTGAAGTTGCCTGCATATATAGCTCATTTATATTCATTACTGCATAGTGATGCATGGATTTACCATAATTTGTTTATTTACTTTCTTTTTCAAGAGATCTCATTTGCCTCCAATGTTCAGTGTTTATGAATAAAACTGCTACAAAACCTCTGTGTTTTGGTTTTTCTATGACACACATTTTCAACACTGTTGGCCAAATACCAACCAGCCAAAGAGTATAATTGGAATCTATACTAAGACAATATTTAGTTTTGTAAAAATCCACCACAATTCTTCCAAGGTAATTACTATTTTGCATATTTCAGTTATAACAAATGAGAGAGGTTCTCTCCCCCATCTCCAACATTTGGTATCATCTGGTCCTGTGTTGTGGTTTATTTGATTTGGATCTGAGGCACAGCACTGAGAAGGATGGAGACCCTCTGAGGATTACAAGGTGTATTAATGAATTGAGGCTAGTTTAGGGAAGCTAGACTGTCATAGACATTACCAGAATCAGAGGCTCTTGGAGTGTGAGAGGAGCAGGAAAAAATAGCTTCTATAAAACTGCAACTAGAGAATGTCACCCCAAAGCCCTGGAGCAGGGAGAAAAGTTGTTGACAGAGGTGTAGATGTCTGCGGAGATGCCATGTCTTGTCACTATGACACTACTAGCAATGTATGCAGAAATTGCAAAGCCATCACTTTAGACCCAACTTACAAGACAGATATTATAAACTCCTATCTAGCTTCCACCCATAATCTTCCAAAAAAATAATTTGTTTCTATCTTCCACATTGCTTTTCTTTTGTAAAACTTAGTGTTTACTTTATTCTTCGAGGGTTTCACACACAAATACAAAGTATTTTTTATCATATCCACACCCACAAGCCCATTTAACTCTTTCTGGATCTCTCACAACCTCATGTGTCCTCCTCCTCTTCTCCTTCCATTCTTCCTCCCCCTCTTCTTATTTTTGTTTTCATAGACCCCAAGTCCAAAATTAGCACTACCAAAATGTACATGGATTTGAAACTATCCACTACCCCAATAGTTCTCAATGTTCCTAATGCTGCAACCCTTTAATACAGTTCCTCAGATTATGGTGACCTCTAACCATAAAATTATTTCATAATTGTTGCTACTTCATAACTGTGATCTTGCTATTGTTATGAATTGTAATGAGACTATCTGATATGCAGAATATCAGATATATGAAAGGGTTATTTGAACCCCCAAAGGAGTCGAGACCCACAGGTTGAGAACCACTGCACTAGAGTTTGGTCAGTCTACCTAGGGCTACATCACTGAAGAAAACCATGCCTCTTGCATCTCTCTCTTCCCTCTTTTCTCAACCCTGACAGTTGTCCTTTTATTTTATTGTCTTGGTAGTTTTACCTTTTCAGAATGTCCTATCACTGGAGTTGTATGGTGTGTGCCCCCTCTCCCAGTAGCCATCAACTGCTAACAGTTTCTCAACTCTGCGGGGGCTCATGGACCCCTCTCTCATTGATGCTTGCATATTGTCTGCCTTGAACTTGTGCATTTCTTGTGCAAATAACCATAGCTGTTGTGAGTTCATCAAGGCAACAGCTATGTCATGTCCCGAAGACACTGTTTCACAACAGTCCTCTCTGACCTCCGGCATCTAATTCTGTCTGCTCCTCTTCCACGGTACCCCTGAGCTTTGGAGGAAGGGCATATAATAGAGATGTCCCGTTTGGGCTGAGCACTCCACAGACATTTGTACTCTGCACTTTGTCAACTTGTTAAGTCTCTGCATTAACTGCTTGCTGCACACTGTTGAAAGCAGCTTCTCTCTGATCGGGACTGACCACTGGTTTTATCTGTGGGTACAGAGGTAAGTTTAGAAGACAGTTTGGTACTGTATCAGTTTAGCAAGATACACAGTTCTCCTCGAAGACATATGAGTTTCCCCAACCACAGGTTCTTGGTCAAATTTACAGTACCAGGCATGAGTTTCTTCCTATGAAACACGTCTTAATCCAAACCAGAAACTAGTTATAACACTCATAACATTCATACCACCATTGCACACATGGGCATGTCTTGCAAGGCCAATCATTGCTGCAGCTCATGTGGTTCTCACCCAAATGAGAATGTTGCTGACTCCCCACCCACCCTCAGAAGCCTGCCTGAAACTTTCCAGTGCTGTGACAGCTAACCACCAAGAACTAAGCTTCCAGGCTGACACCAGTTTGTTTTTTTTCATGTCCTATGAGCAAAGTGTGTTGTGTCTTTAGCAGTAGAGTCTTATCAAGTGTTTTCAGGTAACCAAGAGCAATGGCAAACGCCTGTATTCTTTTAGGGGTCTCTGGAAACTCCCTGATCAACTTGGAGGGAGATCTTTCACACCTGGCACTTGGCATTTTATTTGACAAACTATGGCTTCTGGGAGAAGCATTAGTCCATATGTGGGGTGACTCCACTTAAACCTCTCTATACACATACACACACAGTTTGGTATATCTCTCCAGATAAATGTATGTGTGTGAGTGTGTGTGTGTGTGTGTGTGTGTGTGTGTGTGTGTATATAATCTGCATATATATGCCAATGAGAAAAGTATATAATACTAATGAAGTGGATAGTTTCAAATGGAAAGGGGAAGTTAAGGCAAACAGGGGAGGAAAAAAATACTAAGGATGTTTAGAAACACCAAAGGAAAAAAAAATCACTCTAATTGAAATATGTATGTATATACTGGATACACACACACACACACACACACACACACACACACACATCCATTCCTTCCTTTCTCCTACTGAAATAATACATGACCTAATTATTTTATGTCTTTGATTGCTTTCTACATAGATATTTTAATTGAACTCTAAAGGCTTTGTTATTTTATTTTCTATCATTTTATTTAACTGATTTGTGTATTATTTATTCATATAGGGGCTAAATCTCAGGCAGGCTTCAAGCTGAGGGTGACCTTAAACTTCTCTGGGTACTGTGTTTGTGCCTGTGGCAGGGGGTGGGGTGGGGTGCAGAAGTCTGGCCCCAGTGTCGCCTTCAACCACTCTTCACCTTATTTGCTTGGTCCAGGACCCCTCACTGAACCTGGAGGCTGCTCGTGTTGCTAATCCAGCAGGCCACAAGGGTTTTCCATCAGTGTTCCCAGCACTTGGATTACAGGCAAGCTAGGGGACACCTAGCTTTTGTATGTCTGTTTGTTTGTTTGTTGTTTGTTTAAATGGGAGTTCTGGTGCATGGGAATTAGGTCCGCACGATTATACAACAAGGGTTTACAAATTGAGTTTCTCCCCAGCCCTTGAACTTCTAATCACTCTGCTTCCTCTTCAGCAGGGCTTGAACTTCTGATCTTCCTGCCTCTACCTCCCAAGTGCTGGGACTGGAGGAGGATTGTGCCGTCATATGCAGTTCATGAGGTGCTGGGATCAAATCCAGGGCTTCGTGCTTGTTATGCAAGCACTCTGCCAACTGAGCTACATATGCCCCACTGTCTCCAAAGGCCTGCTTTCTCCCTCCCTCCCCTCCCCTCCCCTCCCCTCCCCTCCCCATTCCTTCTTCCGGCTTCC